TGCTTTGTGAATACAGCACTGCTTCCCCCTCCTGACTCCTCTAATTGTTTGCAAGAATTGCTCTGAGGCAAACCGAAAGCCTTAATCCATGGTCTCACCAAACTCTTCCCACACAGTTTTTTGCATCAACCACTGCCTGAGCTTCACTCTCCTTGGCTTAGCAGTCAGCTGCAACTGGAGACCAAGTCCGATCTTTACCATCTGGTTCTCAGATTATTCCCACACCAAGAACGAACTACCCTGCAGCCACAACTCCCTGGAGCAGGCTCAGCAATGGAGATGCAGAACATGGTTCACTCAGCATCAGTATCTGCAGAGCACCCTTAATAATCTAATCGAAGCTCTGCCAGAGGTGGGAATTGAAGATGTCGTGGAATGGTGCCTCTGCCAGCTCATTATACATTTGGATGCACCAGGTATGCCCAGCATCTTCCCCAACCACCAGATCCAACAGTTGACAGTTCAGCATCTCTCTTTAACTGCATGTCCAAGACATATAGCCGTAGATCTGATGATATGATTACAAAATCAATCATCAACCTCTGTGTCCTGGTGTGTACCAAAATGCACTCTCCAGCACCCTACCGAGTGAATCCAACAAGGCTGACACATGGGTACAGATGACAGTCAGGACCCATTCCCCCTAAGGTGCAGGCAAGCAACCCCTCATCCACTGGTGAAAACTTCAACATACAGGCAGCAAACTGGGAGGATACAAGTATACCCACCCCTGCTTGCTCATTTAGGGCAATTCCATAATCAAACAGAATCAGTCAACGTGCTGCTAGGCAGAAGCAGGACTCGGGTGTAGACTCTCTTCAAATTAAAAAGTAAATTTATTTACTAGTGGTGCAACTACACTACCGCCCAAAGACTTTAGAATAGAATAGAATTAGAATAGAATTCAACTTTATTGTCATTGCACAGGTACAGGGCAACGAAATGCAGTTTGCATCCATCCAGAAGTGCTTTAGTGATATAGATATATTACAATATATATTAGCAATAATATAGATATGTGAGTATATTACAGAAATGGGTCTATTATGGTATGTTATAATGTACACGGTATGAAGTATGTTGTGAATATTCTATAACTATAAGTATGTACAGGCTGTAGTGAGTACAAGCTATGTACAGGCTATGAACAGGATATAAATATGAAAAACTATACAGAATATGAAATAAATAACTTTACAGAATCTGAGATATACAGCTATACAGAAATGGGAACTATGCAAGTTGTAAACAGTTGTAGGATTAAAGATTATCGAATGTACAGAATGATTATTTACACAGAGCTATACAGTAGTGCAGTTAAGATAAGTGAGGGTGTAGATAGTTTCTACAGAGGCTATATAAAGTGCTAGTGGTTGTGAGTGGTGGTTCAGTCCATGTTATTATTGTGTGTTTGAGGGTACGGTTGTCCATTGTGGGTGTGTGTATGTTCAGTCCATGAGTTTAACGTGGGTCAGATGTCAGGAGGCAGAGTTCAGGAGTCTGACAGCTGTGGGGAAGAAGCTGTTCCGGTACCTGGTGGTCTTAGTCCGGAGGCTCCTGTAGCGCCTCCCAGAGGGCAGGAGGGTGAAGAGTCCATGTGATGGGTGACTGGGGTCTTTGATGATTTTCCCAGCCCTTTTCAGACACCGCTTCCTGTAGATGTCTTTTATGGCAGGAAGTGGTGCTCCGGCGATGCGCTGGGCAGTTTTCACGACCCTCTGCAACGCCTTCCGGTCCGAGGCAGAGCAGTTCCCGTACCAGACTGTTATACAGTTGGTCAGGATGCTCTCGATGGTGCAGCGATAGAAGTTCACCAGGATGTCTGAGGACAGGTGGTTCTTCCTCAGAGTCCTCAAGAAGAAGAGGCGCTGGTGAGCCTTCTTGACCAGCTTGGAGCAGTTGGTCGTCCAGGTGAGATCCTCGGAGATGTGGACTCCCAGGAACTTGAAGCTGCTCACACGCTCCACAGCCGTCCCCTTAATGTGGATGGGTGGATGTGGGTCAGCATTCCTCCTGTAGTCCACGATGAGCTCCTTGGTCTTCTCGGTGTTAAGCAGCAGGTTGTTTGTGTCGCACCACTCAGCCAGACGATCCACCTCCTCCCTGTAGGCGGCCTCATCGTTGTCACTGATGAGGCCAATCACCGTGGTGTCATCTGCAAACTTAATGATGGTGTTGGAACCATCAGCAGGTCTGCAGTCGTGGGTGAAGAGGGAGTAGAGGAAAGGGCTCATCACACAGCCTTGTGGTACACTGGTGTTCATTGTGATGGTAGATGAGCAGTGGTTATCCAGCCGGACGTGTTGGGGGCGGTTGGTCAGGTGGTTTACAACAGGCGGTTTACAACAATCTTTCCAGTCATTTATTGCAATTCAAGTCATTCAAGTCCAATGAATAGCTTGAAATGGTACAAAGGTAAGTGTTGAACTGCCAGAGGTTAAAAAAAAAGGTAAGGTTACCCAAAATTGAAAAATAATGAACATTTCATAATTATAAGAAAAGGGCAGATGTTTTGTTTATGTGAATCTGCATGTTGAATACTTTGTATGAATTTTGCATATTTAAATAATTTCATTAATCTGAAATATAATTAAACCATCTCAGCATGCATGCCTCCACTTACAATGCCTCCTTCAGTTATAGGCACAACTACTTGATCCTGGTTTGCTGTTGGATGCTTCATAATGTCTCCTATATGTAAGACATTATGAAGGCTCTACAAAGAAATGTTGGCCCACCCCATGTGCTGTGAGAGCCTGTAACTCATTCTCCAGGGGGCAAACTGAAACTTTTTTCAGATTATGTTGGTGCCACCAGCACGGTGGCACGATGGTTAGCACTGTTGCCGCACAGCAAGAGGGTCCTGAGTTCAATTCCACCATCAGGGCCCTGTGCTTCGTACGTCGCTCACTACATCCAAGATCAAATGAAACATCCAAGACCAAATCATCGCGCTAACCGTGAGCGCGCTAATCCGGTTCCCCGAACACACCTGCTGTTGACGATTAGTACAGCTGGACGCAGTAATGTGACATCACTGGGTGTCGTAAAAGGGGCTACGCATAGATAGTAGAAACATTGATCGGCAACCCTCTGATTGGTCGGCGAAAATGTCGACGGAGCGCGCTCGGCTCGGTATTTTTCGGCAGCAGAGCAAGAACTCTTGAGTGAGGGATTTCAGGAGTTTCAGAGTTTAATTAAAACGCAAGGGAACACTGCAAAGGCTGCAAAAGCAAGGAGAGAGGGCTGGCAGAAAGTTGCTGACAAATTAAACTCGTAAGTAATTTAATAAGAACAATAATAATGGAGTGGATTGATATAGCGCTTTTCAAGGCACCCAAAGCGCTTTACAATGCCACTATTCAGTCACTCTCACATTCACACACTGGTGGAGGCAGCTACGGTTGTAGCCACAGCTGCCCTGGGGCAGACTGACAGAAGCCAGGCTGCCATATCGCGCCATCGGCCCCTCTGGCCAACACCAGTAGGCGGTAGGGTAGATTTATTATATTACACTATATTATCCAATATTATATTACATTATATTATAATATGTTATATTATATCCCCTTTCACATTAGAGCCACAACAGGACCCACTAGAACATGGGAACAGGTAAAAGTGAAATATAGGAATATTCTACAGAATGGTAATATTTATCACTTATATTGCTTTTAGTCTCTTGGAAAGAGACCCTGAAATAATCTGTTTGTTTATAACAGCAACCAAGAAAAGGGCAGAGCAAAAAAAGACAGGTGGTGGTCCTGCACCCCCTCGTCAACAAGTTGGTTAAGTAAATAATACCCTCACGGGAAATCGATATCTCTCAATGAGCACACTGTCGCGCTGAGCTAAAGGATCCTGTCTGATCCCGCAATATACGCTGAATTCTGAAAACTCTCCTTATCAATCTTGCACCTTCCGCAGGACATGGCTGCGACAGGCTTCCCAAATCCACCTTCGCTTTTATAGCCGTGGTCTCTCATCTTGATTACACGAAAGTAATTTGCAATTGCTACTCTGAAATATGAATTACATCTGTAATAATCACATACATGTAATAGTATGTTAATAGTACATTTCCCTTTTTTAGGAAATGACCTGTATGTATCTGTGTGAAATCAATAAATGGATCAGGTGCTGCATTGTCTTTAGTTACATTGATGTTATTTATTTATGGTGAAACAGTGGTGGAATATCGCTGTTGCTTTCGTATAAATGACGCGGGCATACCTGCGTGGCCGCGATCTAATCCTGTTTACATAAAGTAAACCTGCTCCCCAGCAGGTTTACGCTTACGGCTCTGTTGCTATGACAGCAAGTCCCGGATGGGCTTCGGGGAACCGAACGATCCTGGATCACGCGAAATCGTCAACAATCTCATCCAGCTAACTCACTTAGCGCGGTACGAAGAACAGGCCCCAGGCCGGGGTCTTTCTGTGTGGAGTTTGCATGTTATCCCTGGGTACTCTGGCTTCCTCCCACAGTCCAAATCTAAATTGCCCATAAGTGTGAATCTGTGAGTGAATGTGAGTGCGAATGGTTGTCTATGTCTCTGCGTGTTGGCCCTGCGACAGACTGGCGACCTGTCCAGGGTGTACCCTGCCTCTTGCCCTATGACAAGCTGGGATAGGCTCCAGCACCCCCCGCGACCCTGAAAAGGATAAGAGGAAGCAAATGGATGGATGTTATATGGAGTGACCCTGATAAGAAAATTAAAATTTTAATTTACTGATTAATTCCAGTTTCAACACCACAGTTTTAATAAATAACAGAAGATATGCATTTTACATTTCAATTAATAAAAGTAAGTAATTTTGCCATTTCCTTTATTAAAAAAGTTAACAGTTTTTTAAAAATATGAATTATACGTTAGATCGAAATCTGAGGTATAAGCAAATGCTAACATTATCCATGGAAAATATGGGTATTTTGACATTTGTGCTGAAAGGTTCAACAGAAACTTTGAGTGCATTTTTTCAAATGCCTCTGTGTTTCAGGCCCGACGGTATCGGCACAGTCACTGTTGAGGAGAAAGAGCGCTTTGAGGAGATCAAGGAGAGGCTACGGGTGCTTCTTGAAAACCAGATTACACACTTCCGGTAGGACCCATTGCACCAACTACACAATGACACATTGTCCAATTGGACTGTTGAAGTTTGAAAAAAACAAAACAAACCTCTTTTCTAAACAGGTACTGTTTTCCATTTGGAAGACCTGAAGGGGCATTGAAGGCAACTCTGTCCCTGCTCGAAAGGGTAAGACTGTTGTAGCACAGGATAAAACACAAGATTGATCCTACCTGTTTTTGGTGGCTCTTTGGGAAGGACTATATGTCCAGTCATACAATACTACGCTGCTATTTCTTTTTTATCATTGTTGATTTTGCTACTACTTGTAGGTTTGTCAGGTTTCTTTTTATTTACTGGAGGGAAAGAGTTAGTTGATTGTTTTAACAAACAATGCAGAGCAAACTGAAACCTGTTTAATTCTGCTCTCTACCTTTAAACTTTAGCTCAAACTGTCATCTTTTCTTGAAACTAATGATAATATTTCCATACCAAAACCAAACAAAACAACAATAATTAAAAGTAATAAAACTCTTAACATGGGGACAACAAAACCTAAAGATTTAATGGGACATATGGAGGCTATAGAGTAATTTTTTCATTTAAGCCTGAGGACATATTTTTACAATATTTATTCACATCTCTTATTAAAAGGTACTGCAAAAATAAATAAATAACAATAATTTTGCTGTGTTTTTTGTATAAGGTTTTAATGAAAGATATTGTCACCCCAGTCCCACAAGAGGAAGTCAAAGGTGTGATCCGTAAGTGTTTGGAGCAGGCAGCTCAGGTCAATTACCAGCGTCTGTCAGAGTATGCAAAGCTGGAAGGTACGTTATTACTCTGCTCCTTTGTGTGAACGCAATCTTGCTATAGTGCTAGTGGTAGCTGCAATAGTAGTAGTCGTAGTAATAGCTGTTATGACATTTATTGTTTTTTGGAAATTCCATTTCCATCTTATGGGAACTGTCAGATAAATATATCCAAATGAAGAACACACTACAGTTGTAGACATTGCATACCTCAACAAAAACAAATGCCAATTAAAATGCTATGCAGAACCAGATGGGAAAGATCTGAAGTGCAGAGGGGATTTTCTAATCCTAGTGGGGAGGTTATTTAAAATTATGGTGACAGTATATGAGAATGTTTAATAAGCTTGTAAAACACAGAAAATTGAAATGCAAAAGTAGTAAATATTTTCACCGAATTTGACCAATCAAACATTAATAAACTGAAACAGTAGTAAACTGATGAAGTCAGGGGTCTATAGATTTTGCAGACAATATTTGAAATGCTAGAACAACATTTCAAATAATGTCTAGTATCCAGATGGATAAAATCAAGCAAAACTGTATGGTAGTACTTTAAATGACAGCAACTATTTAGTTTTTCTTCATTTTTTTACTAAGATAATTACAGTAAAAATGCATTCAATTCAATCTTGCTGACTTCTTCCACCGTGCTTTAGCTTCTCCTTCAGCCGAGTCTTACACTGCCTTGGTTTACCTTTGACTTGCCTGGTAACTGAGAAGATTCTCCTTGTTTCCTGTTCTGGGTTTTCCTTGTGTTCTGATGACTTCCACACTAATCCTTCTGTTTTCCTTATCTATTGGCCTTTTCTGCTTTTAACCTCTGTTTTAAAGCAGGTGGGCGAGTAAGACACAATGAGACTATCTTTTGTGCCTGGATTTTATTTTACTTTTGTTTCTTGCCTCGTCTAGGTTTTCTTTAACAGCCACAAGCATTCTGTAGGCCCCTAAAACAATGACTTATTAACTGGGTCAGAACACTAACCTCTTTTAATGTGTGATAATTCTTCAGATTTGACATGTGAATATGTAAATTTGATATCTTTTGAACTTACTATATGTGTGACCTTAAACCTTTGACATTAAGATTATTAATGTTCAATATAACAGCTGAGCTATTTTCTTGTCTTCTGAAATAGACTTTACATATACAGCACCAATATTTTCTCTGTTTTAGGAACAGATGTCATTATTCTCTGGAACTTTTTCATACATGACAATCAACTCTAACACACTCAAACTGACACGTTTGATTACATTCATGTAATACACATAAGACAAGTAATTAACTGCTTTCAATTTAAGGGTGTTTTCACACATGCGGTGTGTAATTCATTCAAATTAACTCTGGTTTGTTTTTGCCCTTTGGTGTGACTCGTTTGGGCAGATATGAACACAGTAATTGCGCTTGGACCAAAACAACCGCACTCTGGAGGAGGTGGTCTTGGCATGGTTCCAAATGAACGCCAGAGGAGTTGGTTTACAACGTATAACAACTAGTTGTAATCAGTTTGAACTAAAAAAAAAAAAGCTGTACATATGCTTTGTATTCTAGGATGTGGCAAGGTTTCTGTTACGCCCCACTTAAAAATGAAGTGTTGTCTGGGGTGGGGGCCCCCAGCCACTAGAGGTCAGCGACCGTAACAGTTTCCATGATCCTTATCTGTTTACTTTTTGTTTATGTCCAGTTTATGTGTCGTAGTCTTAGTCAGTGTTTATTTCATGTTTTATATTGTTAGTCTTTGTCCTAAATACATTGTTTTCAGTTTTGCTTCCCTCTGTCTCATTTCCTTGATTTAGTTCAGATGTGTTCCCTGGTGTGTTCCATCTCCCTGATTACCTCATGTGTGTGTTCAAGCCCTCAGTTTCCATAGCTCTTTGTCGCGTTGTACGGTTTATAGTGTTAGCATTTTGGGTTTGCAACTCCACGCACTCTACGACACAAAGTGTTTTAGATGTGCAAAGGTCTGTATGGGCTAGCAACTAGCTGTGAAATGAATGTAAATCCTTGTTCAAATAGAATACAAGACCTTTTTCCTGTATTTACTTTTGTTGCTTCCACTCCAGACAGCTCTGGCGAATAAGCAGACTGAATCTTCTCACGTGGTTTGTAGTGATGCATTTTGATTCACTTGGATTTTTCTCTGAGTAAAAACAAACCCAAACATGGGGAAAAGATAAAACTGACTAGAACCGCATCAGCTGATTCAGACCAGAGTAAATGAACTACAGGTGTGAAAATGCCCAATGATACAATAGAATGCTGCTCAAAAAAATTAGAAATTCTTTGAAAACAAATTAGGTTTCAGTGGAGAAATTACATAATGCTGGATATGAAAATGCAAATTATCAACCTACAAAAGGCTAATTTCAAAGACACTCAAAAATCAACCAAAAAAAGTAATGTGGCACACTAGTCCATGTTGCTGAAACTTCATTGTAGCAACTCAAAGCGAGTTGTTTGAATGTACTTGCTCCTAATGAGAAGGCATACTCCTAATGACTCAACAGATTGTGCTCCTGGACAGTCTGAGATGTAGACTGGTGGTACTGGATGGACTGAAATATAGTGTGCTAAGGGTCCTCTATTGGATTTAGGTCTGGCAAGCTTGGGGGCCAGTCTATGTTATCAGTTCCTTAATCCTCCAGGCGCTGCATGCATGCATGCTCTTGCCATATGATACATGTGCATGTCATGCACCAGGAGCACCTAAGACTCAGTGCAGCAGCATAGGGTCTGGCAATGGTTCCAAGGATTTAAACCCAATATCTATTCAGGTGCCGTTGCCTAGCAGTGACCACTGGTACCTCTAGAGGCTATTGGGCAGACGTTCACATCAGTGTCCTGTTGGAGGTCATTTTGTACTGCACTGGCAGTACTTATCCTATTCGTCCTTGCACAAAGGGGCAGATACCCGTCCTGGTGATGGCTTGAAGATATTGTACAACTTCACATTCTTGAGACTGTGCTGGGAGACCCAGTAAACCTTCTGGAAATGGTATGTATTGATGTGCCGTCCTGGAGGAGTTGAGCTACAGTACCTAAATCCTACTACCTCTGTAGGATCCAGGTATTGCCTTATGCTACCAGTAGTGAAACTGACCCTAGCCATATATAAAACTAGCAAAAAACAGTCTGAAAAGGGAAAAAGATGTTACCAACAAAAGGTAAAACCATTCCTGTTTTGCAGTTGACTCATTATTACTCCTTTCGCTCCGTCACCCTTGTTCTGTGTCTTCCTAGTCTTGTCTCTGTCTCATCCTTCTGTTCCCCATATTTAGCCAGTCTGCGTCTCAGTTTGTGTTTCTTGTGTTTTATGTTGATAGTCTCTTGTCCTGTGTGCATCATGTTCAGTTTTACTTCCCCTGTCTCGACAGTTAGATTATGGCCAGCCATGTTCCCCAGGCGTTTCCTCTCCTCCCTGAGTCCCTCTTTTGTGTATATATTGTCTGTATCTCCTTCTGTCCAGTTTTGTGATATCCCATCTTGCTGTGTGTCCTGTCGGTACTGTGTTTCCCTGTATTATTCTGTTTGTTTAGTTTCTCCAACTTAGCATTCCCAGTTTAGTTGTTTAACCTTAAATTAGTCTTGCTTGTGAGTCTACATTTTGGGTCTGCCTGCCTGCCTCACACAGTAGCATGAAAAACTATCCTAGGAGTTTAACTGACTTGGTGCTGTACTTTAATTAAAAGATGTTTCTTTAATCTTTTTGAGCAGTATATTTATATATATATGGCTACCTCAGTCATGCCCCACAGCTTAGATATAAAACAGCTGCGCAGATGTGAAACCAGTGATGGTTTGATTGGAACACATCTCCAAGCGGCCTGAAGCTGGAGACAGTCTTTCACTCCAAGAAGCAGACATCATGTCAAGGGGAGGCAACCAAGTAAGCAAGCTTACAATGTAACTGTATGTTACCATATTGAGACTTACAGTTACTTACAAGTACTTACAATTTCCATATGTGCGGGGTAACTCACCCCACAAGGAGACAGTCAAGGCCCCACCAGATGCAAAGGCCCTGCCTGGGGGGGGGGGGGGGGCAAACATCAGTCTGCCAGATGCAAGACTGGCCTGAGCAAGTCAGGATGCAAGGACCGCTCATGGTTGGCCCGCAAGCTGATCAAGGAGACAAAGGTTACAGCTGAGGGGCATCTAGCACCTGCTTATGCCTCTAGGGGAACCTAGAGGCATAAGGCTGCCACCCAGTAGGACAACCGGGACTTTGACAAATGCCTGCCCAGGATGGAAGGCAATGAAGAGCTGATCTGTTGTCCAAATCAGCTGGGGATACCTGACGTATAGAGCCAGCGCTCAGCCTCGCTAAGTGCTTAGCAACAGAGGTGAATGGCCTTAATCGCTACCACCATTCAATGCAGGGTCACAGCGTAAAGGGTGGACCGCTCGAAAGTGATCCACTCACCTGGGAAAGGAGGTTCCTCTGGGCCGGAAGCTCCCAGAGTCTTGAGTCGAGGAGAGGCTGGATCACTGAGAACCAGGGCATGTTGGGCCAGAAAGGGGCCACCAGGACAAGCCTCGTTTCTGCAGCCTGGACCCGGAGAGGACCAAGTGGAGGAGAGAGAAAGGAGGGAAGGTATACAAAAAAGCCTGGTTCCAGGGATGCACCAGGGCATCCCACCCGGAAAGGGCTGTCGAAGAACAGGGGGCAGTGTGTTGACTCCCTGGAGGCAAAGAGGTCCCCCTCTGCCCTTCTGAAACAGTGCTAGATTTGTTTCAACCACCTGCGGGTGGAGCCTCCACCCCCCCGACATGATGACTGCTTCTGTATTCAGTGGCACGTGCACAGCCCCGAGGGAGCAGAAATGGGGGAGAGCCTACTGCTTTAGCCTTGCGGCTATCCTGCAGAGGAGAAGTAAGCCCAAGCCCCCCTGCTTGTTAACATAGGCCGCCAGAACTGTGCTGTCCTTCCCAACAATCACATGAAACCACTGCAGTCAAGCCAGGAAAATCCCGAAGTGCCAGGAAGACGGATCCAGCACATTGATGTGCACAGTGACAGCCATCAGACCCGTGAGGGAGAGGCACAGCCCCCGGCTCAGTAGAGAGTGGAGGCCGAAGTGGTCTGGGCATGCACAAAAGACCCATCGCCGTTGTGCCATGAGGGATATTGAGGGATACTACAGCCCCAGAGCCTCAACATGAGAGACCTGCAGGGCAATTTTTACTCTTTGGCTTATGACACAGTCTGATTTTATTGTTTTAATCTAATGTGCTGATTTTATTGTTTTAAATGTGTTTTTTTTTCTTTTTCTATTTTTTTTAATAGATATTATACTTATCTTATATTATTATTACTATTTTTCTCATTTTTTTAACATGCTCAATGTATCATGTTTGGCATGTCAAGTGTACAGCACTTTGTGTTCAGCTGGTGGCTGATCTGAAAGCGCTATATAAATAAATTGCTTGCTTGCAACGTAGCTGCAACACTGTTCTACTGAAGAGGCACAGACCAGCCAGTCATTCAGGTAATTCAAGATTCTGAGGCCCCGCAGGCTCATAGGAGTGAAGGCCGCATCCTGCATCTCAGGAAGGTCTGGGGGGCCACAGCAGAGCGTTCTCACTCCCGAGGCGTAACATGTCGACGTTTTGTCACGTCCCGCGGCGTTCCTGAGGAACGCGAAAGGAGACCTTCGGCGTTCTTATGGTACGCGGCGGGTTATGGCTGGAATCCAGTGCAATGACGCTCCCGCGGTAATAGACGTTCCAGCCCTGTATTCCAGCCCTAAACCTAACCTTATCCCTAGCCCTGACCATAACCTTATTCCTGACCTTAACCAGGACTTTAATGATGTTAAATAGCGTGTTTCTAAGCGATGTGAAGAAAAAGAGCGAACATGTGTAGGTTCAGTCCAGACGGTTCTCATATTTCCTCTTTTTCCGAGGTCGTCATTTAGGAACGTGGTGGGTAGCCGAAAACGTAATATGTTGACGATTTGTCACCTAGCGTAAAATGTTACGCTTTGGGAGTGAGAACGGGTTGGCCACAGAGATGCCAAAGGGGAAGTCTCCAAACTCGAAGACCTGCCCATTGGACCAGAATCTGAGGAAGCGCCACCGCCCCTGCCAGATTAAGACTTGAAAGTAAGCGTCCTTCAGATCGATGGTAGCAAACCAATTCCCTGCAATGATGGCCTGACATACACTGGGGACCTTCAGCATCTTGCACCTCAGGGGCCAGAGATAGCAACTGAGGTCTTTGCCGTCCAGAATTGAATGGAGACCCCCGTGCTCTTTGGGGAGTAGAAAGTAGTGGTAGAAAACCCCCCATGGGCAGCTTCCACCTCCCGTATGATAGCCTTTGTCATGAGGGCTGGCAGTTCTTCCTGCAGCACACAGGCCTGCTGGAGGTTGCCTACTGAGGGGAAGGTCGGGATGTTCGTTATGGGGGGTCTGTGGCAAATCTGCGGGCGGTAGCCCTGGGTCATGAAGCAGATCACTCAAGGGTCTGCCCACAGACCCAACCAAGCCATCCTGCATTGTGAAGGCCGGCTGGAGGATGACTTAGCCTTGGTGACTAAGGGCTAGCAGGAGTGTCTTACAGAAGTATCCACATGCCACGACAGGGAGTGGAAAGACAGTCTCGATATGATAGAGAACTTAGCCTATCCCAGCTGACATCTGAGGTTTGGTAAACCCTGAAAGATCCCCAGTTCACTGCAGTCATAATACAGAAAGACAAGCAGCCATGCACACCTTCAGTCCATTTAGAACTGCCAGTTAACCTAACAAGAGCTGTGGGAGGAAACTTGCACACATGCACAGATAGTACAGTAACAATGGACATGTTCTATCCACTGCACCACCTTGCTACCCATTTATTTTTTCTCCATTTCATGTAAGCACACAAAAAATTGAAATCAATTTGACAAACAAAACTAGAGGATGTCTCTTAATCTTTTAACTCCTTAAAATCTGCTAAACATAGTTCCATGTACAAATTTCACAATGATACATATTGTACCTTTTAATACAATGTGTGGTTAAAGTTCTGATTTTCTTGCAAGAAAATGTGAGGTAGTGGTAGCAAAAAACTTTATATTAGTCAAACCCTAGTGACCATTATGTTCGTTTGCGCTGACCCTGGCCTTTCGCATGCCTCGGTATCCTGCCTCTTTCTCTATAGGGAAAAAGAGAGAGATGTATGAGCATCCTGTCTTCTGCTTGGCCTCTCAAGTGATGGATTTAACGATTCGTGAGTACCTTCCTCCCCAGCCTCAATTAATTTGTTTTCTTATTATTACAGTCAGTATGCACGTAAACCACCAGAAGCAACCTCACATTTTTGTCATCTCTGTCATCCTTTTGGTCTGTAACATTGATTGTTATACTGTGCTCCAAGCCCTTGTTCATTACTAAAACACCTTCTATTTTTTCTGTAATCTACTTTGCTGTACTGCCTGAAACCACCATTTCTGTCTGTCTGCAATTTGAATGCATTTTTACTTTGCTTATGTGTAAATTAAGTAAAATAAGTTTTTAAGGCCATGGTACAGACAAGGAAGACCCCCAAATCTAGCTGTTGTTAAAAGCATATCTTGTCAGTTCTCAGTCCTTTAAGGGAACATGTCTGATTGTGAATATGTCTGCCTTTGAATGAAAAGCCCATGAAATGCTGATTTAGACTCCATATATTGCACTTAGACTTACCAGCCACTTCAGTAGGTATACATATTCAATAGCTTCTTAACACATATCTAATCTGCCAATTACATGACAGCATGTCATTGCATTTATACATGTAGACATGGTCAAGACAGTCTTGTGAATTTCAAACTGAGTGTCAGGAAGAATAAGGAAGAAAGGTAATGTAAGTGAGTCATCATTATGGATTTTTCAGGTTTTGACTTTTGAATCCTTCATTATCATTTAATGCTTCATTGGGTTCTGAGCTAGCTTGTGTATTCTTGATCATTCTCTTTAGGTTGAGTTATTGGTCTTATTGAATGGGTTTCAGTTAATATTATACTTTTTTAATATTTTGGTTTTGTTATTTTTCTTAGTGCTGTCTTCTGTGTCAAATCTGTTTTAGTGTCCTTGACTCAGTGTTTTGATTATTTCCAGTTTTATTGTAATAGTCTTTTTCCTTTGTATGTAGTATTTCGTTTACTTTCCTTGTCTCATCATCATGGATTTGTTTCAGCTATCTCTCCTCATCCTCCTGAATCCATTTCCCTAATGTGTGTATGTAAGCCCTAAATTTGTCTTAGGTTTCTGTTGCGTCATACTGTTTTCTGTTTGCACTGTTTGCTTCCTGAGTAGTGAGTAGGCTTGATTTTGTTTTCATCTGTTTTCAGCCGTTTTGGACTGTCTGTGTTACCTAAATAATGGTTCATCTTTTGTTCATTGACACAAGACAACTCCTGCTCCTGTAGGTCGAAACCTTTCGTCATTTCAACCAACAGTGTCAGCGTGGAAATCTCTGCCAGGACTAGAAATAAAACCATGATTGATTTTGTGTCGTTCATTCATCAATTTAATCTGTTTCTGATCAATATGTGGGTCATGGTAATGGAGGTTAATTTATGTAATACAAAACAAAAAGAAAAAAAACTTGGGACATGCAATGTTTATGTTAAAACTGTTGCAGCGTTTTCAAATGATGGGACAGTCCGCACTCACTTTCTCTTTTAGATAATAATTTCTGCAGCTTTTGAGATAACCGTTTCACATAGTAGTGAGCTGGCAGGGGTGCACAATTTCCCATACCAAAGGATGCTCTGAAATAGAGAAAATATCAAGTGAGTGCCAGTTAAATATAAAAATTATAAATATTATTTTAGGTACATTTCAAAATAGTCACCTTACACAGAAGTATTAAAATCCAGAAAGAAAAAAAACAAAATCATCTTCCACCTGTAAATCTGTAATGAGTTTAAAGAGACTGACAGTGAGTCACTGTTAAAGATGTCGGACAGTATGAATGGGTCTCTTGACATGCGCAGAAGTTCAGAGAGATACTGTGGAGCAGTATTATGAGCAGATTATGCATTTCCTCAACTAAAAGAGTACAAAAATCAAATAATAAAATATTCATTGGGAAAGCAGGCCAGAAGAAAAGAAATGTGTGCTAAACAAAGACAGTCATCTTAAGATGTTTCACACCACTAATGAGAAATGAGGGAACCATTGCTTTCTGTTACTATATTTTAAGGTCAACAAGTTAAAAAGTTTTCAGTTTTTGAAGCCTGACTTAAAACATTAATCTGTGGGTGGTGGACCTCAGACCTAGGAGGGCTTAAAGTGTTTTAATGGTGTCAAATGTCTTTGTTCTCCTATTGAGCACCAGTAATAAATAATATAGATTTTATGGCTTTTGCTTTTTTAAAAAATGTTGGCAGCAAACAATTCATTTTATTTTATAAGTGGTAATATCTGACACTTAAACTGGACACCTACTGAGCACTTGTTGACCTCATATCACATTGATTTCACTTTAACAGGCTGGAAGTGCCATGCATTCAGAGTCTTTTACTCACAGCATGTTGTAAGTAGATTCTCTCCTTGGGAACACGTGTTATATGTGCAGCTTGTTAAGGCGTAGCTTAGTAAAACCACTGACTGAAGTCACCCTGAAGACCACTGGGTCTCCACACACTTCACCTGCCTGCATTCATATATCCGGATCTTGCTGCTCTCATTCCTCTTCTCTCCAGAGCATACTTCTGCCTTTCCAAGGACTCTTCCACCTGCTCCCTACTCTCACTACAGATCACAATCAACATCATAGTACATGGAGACTCCTGCTAACTTCATCTGTCAACCTGTCCATCACCACGACAAACATGAAGGGCCCCAGAGCTGATCCCTGACCCCCACCTTAAACCCATCTGTTCTTTCTACCGCATAGCTCATCATTATTTTGCAGTCCTCATACATGTCTTTCTCACCTATTCCTGACTTTCTCATGCAGTGTCACAGTTCCTGTCTTTGCACTGCTTTCTATAGATCCACAAAGACACAGTGAAGTCCTTCTGACTTTCCCTGTTCTTCTGTTCTGTTCTTCTCCATCAGCATTTTCAAAGCAAATATTGCATCTCTTTCTCAGCATTAACCCATACGCTTCTCACTGATAATCACCTCTCTTCTTAGCCTAGCTCCACCAACTCTCCCCATAGCATTATGGTATCAATTTTATCCTTCTGTAGTTCCTACAGCTCTCCATATCACTGCTGTTCTTTGACATCGGTGTCAGCACATTTCTCCTCCATTCCTCAGGCATCTTGTCACCCTCCAAGATGTTTTAAACAATATGGTTAAGCAGTCCACTGCCCTCTCTCTAAAATATCCATATATGTCATCCATCAGCCACTTTTCCACCCTTCATCCTCTTCACAGCCACCTTCACTTCCTTCTTGCTAATCTTCTGCACTTCCTGATTCACTAGCTGTCCTCCATCTGTTCTCTGCTCTCATTTTCTACATTCATCGGCTCCTCAAAGTGCTCCTTCCATCTTTAACACACTCTTTTTACTCATTAGTATACATCCATGTCTGTCATTAACCACCCTGACCACCTGCACATCCTTTCCACCTCAATCTCTCTGCCTAATCAATTGATGATAGCCCTTTTTCCTTAGTGTTTGGCCTCACAAACAACTCATTATAAGCCCTTTCCTTTGACGCCCCCAACTTTTCATTGCTAACGTCCTCCTTTGAATACTTTACTGTACTTCTCTTTCCAGAGGATACACCCAACACCTTTTGGCAGTTTCCCTCACCGGTTCAGCTGTACCAGTCATCTGGTAACTTTTCCCTACTACCCAGAGCCTTTTTCAACTCCTTGAACTCTGCACAACGTTCTTCCTTCTTCAAATTCCACATTGTTGGTTCATCCTCACTTTCCCTTTAATACCTTGAATAGCATCTAATGTTTTTTCTCTATCCTGCAGTACGTGTTCATCAAAGCCATTTCCATCCTTTTGGCAAAATCCATTACCGTTTGTCTTTCTGCATTGCTCCCCTTAACACAATAGTTACCCAACAGATTCTCATCACCTCTGTTCCCTTGACCCAAATGTCGATTAAAATCTACTCCAATCACCAATCTTTTCCCCCTGAGAACATGCTCTACCACTTCATTCAACATACTCCAGAATTCCTCTCTCTCTTTTGACATCCAACTTGTGGACTGACAGTATTCAACATTACCCCTTTGATTCCCAGCTTCAAACTCACGATCCTTTCTGACATTCTCTTCTCCTCCACAACACTCTCCACATACTCTTGCTTCAACATTACTCATATTCAGTTTTGGTTCCTATAATAGAACAGTTTGAATCCATCTCCAGTGCTCCTGGCATTCCACCCAACCTCCAGCACACACAATATGTCTATTGTTGTTCTCTCCAATATATCAGCCAGCTCTTCCCTTTGCCAGTCATAGTCCCTAGATGTGAAGCGCCTATTATTACCTTCAAACTCCCACCTTTCCTTTTCTCTCGCTGATTCTAAACATGCAAACATGGCTTCCCCCTTCCTTTGTTCTTAGCCAACAGTAGCACAGTTTCCACTGGCACCCTTTTATCCAACAGCATTGTCATTCTTATCCCAGACCTCGACAGACCAGTATGGACCAGTATCCTGACGCAGTCCTACCCATTTATTTGGGCTGGACTGACGTTTATGCTTTAGAAGTGAAAACTCAACACAACTCATCTGAGTGCTTGTTGTTCAGCTGTCGCACATCATTTTCATTACAGTGAAAGTATGCGACCCAGAATATGTTAATAAAACTGGTGTTCTGCAGACTCAGCCATGTTAGTCTGCTGTTATACAAATGCTATCTCTCATCAGCTTGCTGTGTTGTTCATCACTGAGCCACAACTCTACCAGCACGTGGTCTGAGTGGAGTCGGTCACATTTTCAAGTTAAAGCAGTTTCTGTGTCACGTGTATGTTCTCAGCAGAATTACAGTACTGAGTGTACCATATCTTCTATTTCTATATGCTAAACATTTACGATTCTCTTGAAAACAATTTAATTAGTTAAAATAAATGACAATGTTTCTCAAGTATAGATACACAAAGATGCCTTTGACAAAATGTTTTAAAATGAGCAGCACTCAAACATATGGAGCCCCGCAGGGGACATGGGAGAAAAAAAAATTAAGACGGACTTTTGCGAGATCTCGCAAAACTAACTCGGGATCTCGCAAAAGTTTTAGCCGCATTCTTTGGACGCCGGCTTGAAGCCGACCGGGAGGTCAAGGCACGATGTGCCGGGAAAGTGGTGTTCCTCCCGGCTGTAATAGGTCTCGACCTCCCGTTAGCTTCGAGCTAATGGGAGGTCGAAGGCCGAAGAATGCGGCTAAAACTTTTGTGAGATCCCGAGTTTGTTTTGCGAGATCTCGCAAAAGTCCGTCTTAATTTTTTTTTCTCCCATGTCCCCTGCGGGGCTCCGTACAAACAACCCGATGACTGTTTTAAAAGAAAGTTAAGGGAATAAACATGACATTTAATTATAATGATGTTATTAACCAACTTTAGATGGAATAATGCCAACCAGTGCAGAGGAGAGAGGTCTACAGAAGAAAAGACTGGAAGCTAACACTGGTCAAGATGCTGTGGATTTCTGGTTTTGATTTAATTAAGAGATGTTACTGAGGATGTGCAGCAGCAGCAGCAGCGGACTGAGAGGACTAAAACCACTGACGATCAAAGATTGGTTAATGGCTTAGGATGAATAATCTCAACTGTTTGGAAGCAAGGAGGTCTGCAGGAGAAGAGAAAGGAAGTTAATGAAGTGAAGTTTAGGATTGCAAGATTTAAGCACACAAGTGTGTGCTGATGTGTTTCTGAAGTCTTCCTAGTTATTTTCCAGAGTAGATGACTTTTAGGGGCATTGGATTGGCAAGCAGCAATCCAGGGAGAGACAGAGGGATTTGATGGAGCGTGGGCAGAGAGGTGGGCTACTGGGACGGCCTTGTTATTGTTGTTGTAGCAGTTCTCTGTTTGGATTTAACCCCTTAACTCCATAATATTCGATAGATACAGGGGTTTGTTTTTTTTTGAGACTACTATTACATCACCAGTATGATTTCTTTCCCTCCTGAAAAATCTAAATATATTGCACAATACATTTATAAGCATTTTAAAAAAAGGCAGATATAGGAAATACGATACAAATTAAAAGTCATACATGGAGATATTTTTTTCTTTTAACTATAAACTCTCCATTTAGAAAAAGAAATTTCTTGCAATGATTTTTTATTTCAGGCTATAAGGGGTTAATGAGTTAAGCCAGCTGTGCTCTTCAGTCTCTTTAACAAAAAGTCAGCAAATATTTTGGGAAACAACACACAGGCATAAAGCAGGAGGCAGGGAAACAAGAACCAAATGTGCAGAAAGTAACAAAAGTATAGCTAATAAAGACCTATTTAATGTTGGTGGTAAAGAACAAGGTGGTAAACCCATTGTTTCAGACTGGGTGCACAAGCTGGTCTTTTAATGCAGCTTCATTGATGAGACACTCCACAGCAGTAAGCCTGGGTTTTATTGGTTTCTCCATGTAGGAAGATGGGTTTGGTTATACACAATTGTAGGTTTGTTTAGCTCCATGAGGATAAAGGTTATCGAGGTTGTGGTGTGTGTTATATTTGAAAGACTGTTTTATATCTTGAAACAGCCGTACTTTACACAAGACTGAAAAAATAAACAGGGCTAAGAATAAAGTAAGAAGATGTCGATTAAAAACTTTGTTCTCAGAAGATAACATACAATCATGTCAAAAAATGTTTTCCATATCAGGGCATCATTTAAAAAAGATCTTTAAAAGATCTTGTCCTTAATCTAACCGCAGGTATGAAACCATTTCACTATTTAAGAAGAATAAAGCCAAAATGAAGAATCAATCTGTGAAGAAGTGCACCTAATCATTCAGCTTTTAGAACAACCTTTAGCAGCAAATTCTTCTCTGTGTTAATTTAATAGTCCCTCACATCGCCTTGGTCCACTCATCTGTACAATATCACTTCAGTTCATTGAGGTTTTTTGGGCATTTGTTAAAGATCTCTTCAGTTCCCACCACAGCATTTCAAATAGGCTGAGGTCTGGACTTTTGACTGGGCCATCCCTTTATCTGTGTTCTTTTCTTTTTCAGCCATTCTGTTGGTGTGTTTGGGATTATTGGACTTTATTTACCAATATGTCTGTGGAACTGTTCTTACCCTGTGTAAAAACAATTGTGTATGCAAAGTTATTTCATTTATGAAGCATGTGACTATTTCTGTTTTTCATATGTTTGTAAATCATAATTATTCTGAACCAGTAGGTGTGCGCAATCTGCATGCAATCTGCGAGAAAGTCTGACTTAAGATACGTAAACAATTTTCAGAAGTCAGAAAGGAGCAGCTTTCCATAGTGTTTATATAGGAGTGACGACATAAGAACTAAGGCTTGGCTGAAACTGGTTCATGCATCAGACAATGGCTGTCCTTGAAATGTCCAATTTATGCACAGATTTGTGCATAAGTTGGACATACAAACATTACACTCAAAAATCTGATTTTTGGTACCTGAATTTTTTCATACTGGAACAAATGACAATTTGAAACTATGAAACTTTGGCCGTGCGTGTACAAATGGCTGTCTATGGAAGTATACACAAGTCTTTAAAATTATTGAATAAATAAATTGCATAACTTGCATTGCAAAAAATAAAAATAAAAAATGAAATGATAAACGCAAAGATTTCAAAAACAACACCAGGGAAAAAAACAATATAGTTTATGTGCTGTGATTAAATTGAATAATTTATTCACTGTAATATTCTTCAGTGCCACGTCATGGTGCCAATGCCTGCAGCTTCCTAATATTTATTCCTACAAAGCTATTATTCAACTGCATTTTTATTGATATAGTGCCAAATCATAACAACAGTTCCCTCAAGACTCTTTATATTCTAAAGTAAAGACATTACAAAAATACAGAGAAAGCCCAACAATCTGATGACCCCATATGAGCAAGTACTTTGGTGACAGTGGGAAGGAAAAACTCCCTCTTAACAGGAAGTAGACAGGGTCATGGAGGGGTGGCCATCTACAACAACTGGATATTGTTAAGTGGAGATAGAACGAAAACACGCTGTGGAAAAGAGCCAGAGGTTAATAACAACTATTGATTAAATGATGTGTGGTGTATAAACACATGGTAAGTGGGGAAAAAGGTGAAGTAGGAAACAATCAATTATAGTGCAAGAGGCCTAGGCTCCTGGTGGACTCCCATGATGTGATGATTCAGGGTCACCTGATCTAGCCCTTGCAATGCGCTTTGTCAAAAAGGAACGTTTTAAGCCTAATCTTAAAAGTAGTACTGCTAGCCTAAAGGCCCTTGGTAAACAGCCCATTAATATCAGAATCAGCATACTTTATTAATCCCTAGGGAAATTATGTGAGCAATTACAGTTGCTCCAGTACAGTAACATAAACAAAAATAGACCAACCTTTTTAACAAGACAATATGTTAAGATGTAAGGAACACAATATAGCACGATGTATACAAATCACCAAATAATAAATATCCAGGGTTGGCAGATGTAATTAGAAATAAATATCACGGAAATTGACAGCAATATTACCAAGTAAGTAAGAGTGTGTGCAGAAAGGATGTAACTATTGCAGTGTTTACAGTGTAGTAGATGGAGGAATTGTACAGGGAGATGGCCACAGGCAGGAAGGATCTCTGATCATATTTAAGATTGAAGCATTAATTAAGAGTAGGACGTCTTTGAGCAGTCTTATATATAAGACTGCTTAATTAATGGGGCAGATGATATGGTTGGGAGAGAGTAATTACTGAAGTTAAGTCAGGAACATCAATTGGACAAAAGTCCTTCCTATTGGGGACCCATTTCTCATATAAGTTATTAATCAAACTTCTACTTTCATTTATAGCTTTGATTAAGAATAAAGCTGATTTACTATTAGTAAATATGGAAAAGCTCTGTTATAGCACTGCCTAGTGTCATACACTTTGGGTTGCATGGATAGAGGTTTATGAAATTAAGAACAGATTGTGATCACACCTAGAGGGTATCCACACTGATCTTTGACCTTTGTGCTTCAGAAAATGTGGGAAGGCTTGCCACCCCTGCCAAAAAACTGGAGGACACGATCCGTTTGGCTGAGCTGGTGATTGAGGTGCTTCAGCAGAATGAGGAACATCATGCTGAGGTCAGTGTGCTGGTACATATGCATATAGCCACACCATGTCCCTACTCCATTGTAGACGTTCTACATATTTGTCTCCAATGCAATGCTAAAATAAAAAGGTCTACAGAGCTCCTCAACATTTGTTTTCAAAGATAAACTGAACACGTTTTTTTTGTCTCATTGCAGACTGAAGTTAAGTAGTTGTATAACTTTACTTGAATGATAAATACAAAGCTTCTCACTGCTACCTACCTGCGTTAAACTATCATTCTCCATGTTATCTGCACAATAGGCCACAAAGTACATATTCTAAAGTGCAAGTAGGTTTATAAAAGCAGGGGAAACGCTTTGCTCTGTTGTGTATGCTGTGCTGTTTAGCTACATTTTTGTCACTTTTCTGTAACTAAAACAAAGCTGACTTACTGCTTCTCTACTTTTTATTCCAATCACTTATTTGTTTTGCGGGGAATTGTTTGAACAGGGAAAAGAGGTATGTGATTGTCTTGGTGCCATATACCCCATTCCCTACCCTACCCTCAATATACCCGTAGAACCTGTGCATGCACTTATTGACACAGCTATTGTTGTTGAGGAATATTAATATTTCCTTTTTCAACAATGACACAAAACCCATTTCAGCTTGTTGTCACTGCCATTCAAGTACTTGGAGAGGTGCTCGTTAGATTCGAAGCTTGCAACAGTTTTGCCTTCATTATTGAAGATCAGACACAAGTACTTAGGCAGTGTGTTTATTTGTCCAAAGCATTAAGCTAGTATGTTTGGAGAAAGCAAGGGGAAAAACAGATTTTCCTATATTCTAATGATGTACTTTGCTTTCTAAGAGCCTACCACAAATCATCCCAGAATATAACAGCATGTTTATTGTGTTTAGTCATTGACATTTACTTATCCTACTCAGTGATTCATCTATCATGGAGATGTACATGTTCTTTTCAGTAAATCCACCAAGTAAGTTTGGTGAGGGTGTTTCTCATCCTTCCTTTTTTAAACAAATTTGCTTTGGACCTTTCAGCACACATAATGGAGGATATGAGCCATCTTTCACACTATGACCATGCCCCTTGCATTTCAGCAAAATTCCTCTCTCTGCTGCTCCAGTGAAACTTTAAACCAGTGTACGTAACTCCAGCCCAAACGTGTTGAAATATTCTGTTACAGTTTATTTTCTCTTGAGTTTTTGATCCTGGTTTATTCATGTACAACCCTAATTCTTCAAAATTTAGGATACTGTGTCAAATGTAAAGTTAAAATATAATACTCTAAATTGTGAGAATGTTGAATATACAGTAACATTAAAACATTTAGAGGCTTAAGGCCAAAAATCAGTACTGGCTAACCATGACCTTCAGGTCTCAGGCATTAAGAACAGGAAGATTCTGCCATGGAAATCGCTGAGTGGACTCTACAGCACTTTCAGAAATAAAGTGATTCAGGAAGTCTCTGAGCCTGAGCTCATTTAAAATGGACTAAAGCAAACTGGAAAACTATTCTGTGGTCAGACGCATCAAATGTGGGCACCTCAACCTCTTGGAAAAAATAGCACACGGACCAAATGGCTTATTATATGTGAGGAGTTCAAAAGTCTGCATCTCTGATGGTATGGGAGTAGATTATTGCCCATGGCAACAGCCACTTGGACATCAATGCTGAAGGTATATCCACAGTGTATAGCGGTCACTCAAAACCTGATTCTTTACCCTCAATAAACACCAAGCAAAGTGAATTTATTTAAATAATGAATCATTAAGAAAAGTGTACTTGGTTTAAACTGAATATATACCAGTCAAGTACATTTAATTTGGCCAGATTATAATAAATGTAACATTTCACATTGTACGTTTTACTATTATATGAAAAATGTACATATAATTAAATCAGTTAAAGTCAGGAACTTTTTGCTTGTTTGTTAGTTTATATGTTTTCGCTGCCATATGCTCCCTAGCATCTTATCAGACAAGAATGGGGTAACATTCCCCTCCCAAAAGTCTGGAAATCTGTCTCTTGAGGTCCCAGATGTTTACTGACTGTTGTTAAAAGGAGATGGGAAGCTAAAGTGATAAACACGCCTGTCTCCCAGCTTTATTGAGACATGTTGATTTGATATGTTTTCCATGTTATTTTGTGGATAAAATATAAGTTTATGACATTGGAAATTGTTGCATTCTGTTTTTACTAATATATGTTACACAGCACCCTTGCTTTGGAATTAGGGTTGGTTTTCCTCTCATGTAATCACCAGCTTTAACTTGACTTAGACTTTGCACTCTAATCCTAATAACTGGAATTAAGTTAAAAAAATCATTGTAAAACTGCAACATTTTTTTTTTTTTTACTATTTTGTGAAAAAAGTTGAAATGATATGTTAAGAAAATAGTTGAAATGTGGAGATTGCAGTTGTTTCAAACAAACTGCCACAGCTGCTATATACCCTCCACAAAATGCCTTGGGTAGATGCTTACGTTCTTCTTCAGAATCTGTTTTAGTTACAAGGAAATTATTTCTCTATTAGCACATAAACACGATGTGGTTATAAGTAAAAGGCCACAGCAGATGGCCCCGCCCCTCCCTGAGCCTGGTTCTGCTGGAGGTTTCTTCCTGTTAAAAGGGAGTTTTTCCTTCCCACTGTCGCCAAAGTGCTTGCTCATAGGGGGTCATATGATTGTTGAGTTTTTCTCTGTATGTATTATTGTACGATCTACTGTACAATGTGTTGTTGTGATTTGGCGCTATGTAAATAAAATTGAATTGAATTGAAAGGATGGTGCACCATGCTGCATCTGGACAGAAGGAAAAAAACACACAAATGTGAAAGAGTGGATTTGTTCAAAAAGAAATTTCTAGCAGTGGACGGATGGGAGGATATCGATGATTACAACCTAGTGTAGTGAAGAGTATCTATGTTGTATCACAAGACACAAAGGCTCATCAGTTTGTTTCACTAACTCATCTACACAAGGCATTTTGGAGCAGCCAAGGCAGTTTGTTTGAAACAAGACTGTAGACTTGCACGAGGCATCAGCAGAAGCTTGGTGAGAAAGGGACAACTTTTGGTACAATTATCTGGAAATGACAAAAATATAAAATGATCAGCTTCATGCAAGATCTTGCCTCATTAGTTGAGGATGATCATGAGAAAGGTGGGGGCCCACCAGTTTCGTTTTTAAGTTTGAGGGGCCAATGGATGGGGGCATGAAAAGTCTTGGAGGACCTCCTGTAGGACATTTGTGGAGGGATCTTAAGCTTTGAGTTCCCATGCAGCAGCCCAGAAACCTAAAGGATTTAGAGAGTTTCTTCAAAGAGGAGTGGGTCAAAATCCCCTCTTGGTGACCAACTACAGTAAATGTCCTACCACTGTGCTTGCCAACCGGAGTTTCTCCACCAATTACTAAGTTGTGTTTTGTTGGGAATCAAACACTTACTTGGCTCAATGAGATGCAAATGATTTTTTTATTTCGTAGTATTTCTGGTTGGTAATCTGTCTCTCCTCATTAAAATGAAACAAACCAAATTAGAGACTGTGCATTTCTTTATAAGTGAGTAAGCTTGCAAAATTTGCAGGGGAATGTTTTTTATTGTAATAACAAGACTGATGATTACAAAAACAATGACTGGCACTAACTGAATGTGATTCATCCGCTGCTAACTGCTCCCAGTATACCACCCTCCCACACCACTTCCAGTACTAGAGGGTACATTCAAATGACAGTGTTAAAAGCTTGGTGTGAATAGACAAACAGTTTGGATCCTCAGGGTCCCTCTTAAAAGGCCTGGCAAGAGTAAGGTTGCCTGGAGAAAACTCAGTGTATTTGATGAGAGTAGCCAGGTTGCGACCAGTCACTGCACTGCACATATTTGATGGGGAGATACAAGTGTGGCACAGTTCAACAGCTCCTTTCTTCTGATTGACTTGCTGAAGAAGCTGCGGGTGAGTGTTTAAGTAGGTCCCTGCCAAGTCTGTCAAGGAGCTGCTGCTGTTTCCTCTGTGGGACAACAGAAAAGCATGTGATTTTTTTTCCATACCCGACTCTTGGTGTTTCTGTTCCGAGTGGTGAAGAATCCCTCCCCAGAGATTGTGCAGTAAAGTCGTTGAGGCAACAACTTGATTTCATATGATGAAAAGTGTGTGAGAGCCTTTGAATCTCATTTCCTGTAGAGGCTAAGGATGAAATACATCTCCAAATTCTCAAAGATGTGTCCAGTGGGGACGCTCATACTGCATTAACTGTCTTCTTACACTCTCAGCTCCTTACTTTTCTTACCTCTGACTTTTTTCCCCGCTCTCTTCCCCTCTTTCCATCTGAAGGCCTTTGCATGGTGGTCAGATCTGATGGTGGAGCATGCTGAGACCTTCATGTGTCTCTATTCGACCGAGATGGATGCAGCTCTTGAAGTTCAGCCACCTGACAGCTGGGACAGTTTCCCTCTCTTCCAGCTGCTCAATGACTTTCTGAGGATGGACTGTGAGTGTATGGCTATTCAAAAAAGTATATTCAGATGTCAGTATGGACCCTTGAGTAGTGGTCTTTGACTGATGAAGTGATTTTGCTAGGGCTGGAGGTCTGAAGGGTGTAATCTAGGGGAACATCCTTAATTACACACAGTAAATACACACATGGATTTGACCTTCTGAGCATTATGCTCTGTTTAAGCAATGATGAAGATAAGTTTTTAATTGCTGAAGATTTTTTCAGTTTGTAGTACAAATAGTCTATTTAGTAGACTGCACATACCTTATTTGTGGCAGCGTATTTAAGACTTTTTAAAATATTTCTGTATTTATCCAGGAAAAAACTGAATGTAAATTTTGGTTGGGCAGTATTTAATGAGTTTTTTACTGCCTCTAAAGAAAAAATTATTTTAATAAAAAATTCAACCTGAAACTTTAAAACTAATCCTGATTTTAGTTCCTCTGTGATAGTCTAAATTCTGTACTCAATTTATCCCTATTCAGAAAAAAACACTACATTTAAGAATTAACAACAATATAGTCCAGACTAAAAATCCCCCACAATCAAATTGACGACTATGTGCAGTACCATGCTCCCTCCCTCCTATGATGATTTCATTCATATTACTACCACTACTACTTTACTGTACATTTGCCTTATTTTTAAGGTTGACCAACTTAAATGACTTCATATTGTTGGCATGTTTAATTGACAGTAGTGCATCATGTTGAATGTAATCATCATATGTTGAATTTTGTTCTTGCCATCCCTGGGCATTATTAAATAGGAATTACACTGCATATTTCAAATGTACTTAATAATCAGTTAAATCAAGGACAGTACCATTGTACATGTACATGCACATTACGTGAGTAAATGCTCTTACATTCAACTGCTGCATCTTTGTAGGTAAACCTCATTTGGCACTAACATCACTGACAAATCAGTGACAAACAGCAAAAAAAGCATCTCCACACTACTGAGCCCAAACGTTTTTTAACATGTACGTATATTTACAGCAGTTTTGTGTGTGTGTGTGTGTGTGTGTGTGTGTGTGTGTGTGTGTGTGTGTGTGGTGTGTGCGTGCGTGTGTGTGTGTGGTGTGTGTGCGTGTGTTTGTGTGTGTGTGTGTGTGTGTGTGTGTGTGTGTGTGTTGGTGTTGCCGATGGTTGCTGCAGGCCAGTCATCTCTCTAATGAACTGCATACACTTGCCTGCAGGAACACTGTCCATGCAAAAGATACACATACACTTCACGAAGCAGACTCAATCTGCTAATTGTCCCTTGGGAATGATTCCCCTTTTCATTGTGTCAGTTGGGAGTCAAGGAGAAGATAGAATGTCGTCCACTTATTCTGACCTGAGCACAAAAAAATTATCATGCTCTTTTGTTAGTGTCATGAAATTGGCCTCCTTCACATTTGCTACATCGTGTCATTGTGTGCGAATTCCAATTATAGTGCATAGCAATGAACATAGCTACGCTGGGAAACACTAAAAGAAAGCTTGCTTGCAATAATACACTGACTTAGAAAAAAGTTATGCATTCTCTATGTGCATTCATAGCTGGCCAAACATATTCCATCCATCCATCCATCTTCATCCGCTTTATCCGAAGCCGGGTCGCGGGGGCAGCAGCCTAAGCACAGAGGCCCAGACCTCCCTCTCCCCAGCCACCTCCTCCAGCTTATCCGGGGAACACCAAGGCGTTCCCAGGCCAGCCGAGAGATATAATCTCTCCAACGTGTCCTGGGTCTGCCCCGGGGCCTCCTCCCGGTGGCACGTGCCCGGAACACCTCACCTAGGAGAATTTTGTATTTGATTAATTTACCTTTGTCTAAAATAAGAATTTGTTTCATGATCTGAAACATGTAAGTGCAACAAATATGGAAAAATAAGTAAGATTTCAGGAAGAGGGCAAATACTTTTCACAGCATTGAGTTCCTATATATGAACACATTATAGTTTAGTCAGACATCAGCAGCATGGTTTCTCAGTTGCTATATTGTTCCACTACATTAGTCCTTTGTCTTAACTGTGCTAAATTCAGAAACAACCCTCTCTGCGACTTCTACCAGGGAGGGGATATCAGACACTTTTAAACTCAGCCAGAATCTTTGTAATACTTTGGTTTCATCTGCAAGGTAATCCTCGACGTATTTAATCAGTAAAACTATTATTTTAGAGGTTTTCTGGTCTTTTACTGTCTTATATCCCCCTTCAGTTGAAGTAAATGAAACACAGAGAGAGGGAACTGGATACTGAATATGCAGTTAAAACAAATGGAAG